CAGATGGGGTGGAGGGGAGAGGGAGGCGAGTTTATTGATGGAGAATATGACACTAATATCAACTCTACAGCTTATTTGAGGAGTAAGTGTTGGTGGTGGTGGTGGTGTTGGGTTTATAAGGGCCACTGAGAGAAGCCATACATATTAGTGGTGGTGGAGACGGCAGCAGAAGCCACCAACACTATTCACACTGAAACAATGTAAGTAATTTTATAAAAAAAAATATTTACACTTTAATTTATAAATAAGAAATATTTACACTTACCTTGGAGATGTTAGTTTAATTAGTTTGATGGAGGAGATGCTGGCAGAGGTTTAGGGTGGTGAAAGATAGCAGGGCAGTGTATGTTCAGTGGCCCTATACACTCCAACAACATTGGAGAGTTACTTTCGTGTCGCTTTTCTATCGTTTAATCGCTTAACTTACTTGCTACACTGTTAACGCTACACTTTATCGCTGGCTGGCGGTATAGCCTTTATCGATACCTGCTGCTTTAGTATCGTACATATCGCAGAATCACTGAATCACTGAAGAAGGCACATGCTCCCCTCTCTCTTCCTCCTCCACTTTGGTACTTTGCGACGAGTTTTTCCTTGAATTCTATCATGTTTCTTTCGTTCTTTACCAAACGCCTGGCACTAGGAGCTTTCTTTGGGCCTATGGTGGCTTATTTAGCAGTTGCAAGCACAAAAAAACAATGAATTACAGTGATCCCTCGCTTTTCGTAGTTCTCGGCAATCGTAAATTTTGCCAATCATAGGGGTATTTTCGTATAAACATGGACTCGCTTTTCATAGGTTGACTCGCGAATAGTAGTTCGTCCGGGACGCGTACGCACAGTGTGAGCCGGGAAGGCCTCCCTACCCAGCCAGTCTGGCATTGTTTACCAGTGAGTGAAGGTCCCCTCAAGTGCTCCTACGAAATATTTCATAATATTCCACTCATTTCAGTGCTTGCAAGTACAGTAGACCCTCAACCAGCAATATTAATCCGTTTCTGAGAGCTCATCGTTAGTCAAGTTAATTTTCCCCATAAGAAATAATGGAAATCAAATTAATCCGTGCAAGACACCCAAAAGTATTGAAAAAAAAAAATTTTACCACATGAAATATTAATTTTAATACACACAAACTGAAGATTACATGCACAGTTACATGACACTTACCTTTATTGAAGATCTGGTGATGACTGATGGGATGGGAGGAGGGGAGAGCGTTATCTTCTTACTGTTTAGAAGGGGAATCCCCTTCCATTAGCACTTGAGGCAGCAAGTCTTTTTCTGGGTTACTTCCCTTGTTCTTTTAATGCCACTAGGACCAGCTTGAGAGTCACTGGACTTCTGTCGCACAACATATCTGTCCATAGAGGCCTGTACCTCTCGTTCCTTTATGACTTTCCTAAAGTGGTTCACAACATTGTCAGTGTACAGGTTGCCAACACGGCTTGCAGTAGCTGTGTCAGGGTGATTATCATCCATAAAGCTTTGCACTTTAAGCCACATTGCACAGATTTCCTTAATCTTAGAAGTAGGCAACTTCTTCAATTTCTTCTCCCCTCCTCCGAAGCAGTTTCCTCAGGTCTGCCCTCTTGCTGTTCAAGATGATCTAGCAGCTCATCAGTGGTTAGTTCTTCACTGTCCTCCACCACCAACTCTTCCACATCCTCCCCACTAACCTCCAACCCCAAGGACTTCCCCAATGCCACAATGGATTCCTCAACTGGCATAGGATTCTCAGGGTTAGCCTCAAACCCTTCAAAATCCCTTTTGTCTACACATTCTGGCCACAGTTTTATCCAAGCAGAGTTCAATGTCCTCTTAGTCACTTCCTCCCAAGCCTTACCTATAATGTTTACACAATTGAGGATGGTAAAATGATCTTTCCAAAACTCTCTTAGAGTCAGTTGAGTTTCTGAGGTCACTACAAAGCACCTTTCAAACATAGCTTTTGTTTACAGTTTCTTGAAGTTGGAAATAACCTGCTGGTCCATGGGCTGCAGGAGAGGAGTGGTATTAGGAGGCAAAAACTTCACCTTAATGAAGCTCATGTCCCTAGAAAGTCGCTCTGTCACATCTGTAGGATGACCAGGGGCACTGTCTAATACCAGGAGGCACTTAAGGTCTAATTTCTTTTCAATTAGGTAATTTTTCACATCGGGGGCAAATGCATGGTGTAACCAGTCATAGAAAAAGTCCCTAGTGACCCATTCCTTACTGTTTGCCCTCCACAGCACACACAAATTAGCCTTGAGGACATTGTTTTTCCTGAACACTCTGGGGGTTTCAGAGTGATACACCAATAAAGGCTTCACTTTGCAATCACCACTAGCATTGGCACACATCAACAAAGTAAACCTGTCTTTCATAGGCTTATGTCCTGGGAGTGCCTTTTCCTCCTGAGTAATGTACGTCCTGCTTGGCATTTTCTTCCAAAACAGGCCTGTTTCGTCACAATTAAACACTTGTTCAGGTTTCAGTCCTTCACTGTCTATGTACTCCTTGAAGTCCTGCACATATTTTTCAGCCGCTTTGTGGTCCGAAGTGGAAGTCTCACCATGCCTTATCACACTATGAATGCCACTATGCTTCTTAAATCTCTCAAACCAACCTTTGCTGGCCTTAAATTCACTCACATCACTAGTTGCTGGCATTTTTTTAATTAAATCGTCATGCAACTTCCTAGCCTTTTCACATATGATCGCTTGAGAGATGCTGTCTCCTGCTATCTGTTTCTCGTTTATCCACACCAATAACAGTCTCTTAACATCTTCGAGTACTTGCGATCTCAGTTTCGAAAACATAGTTGCACCTTTGGCAAGAACAGCTTCCTTGATTGCCGTTTTCTTGCCCACAATAGTAGCGATGGTTGATTGGGGTTTATTATACAACCTGACCAGCTCAGAGATACGCACTCCACTTTCATATTTATCAATGATCTCTTTCTTCATCTCCATAGTAATTTTCACCCTTTTTGCTGTAGGGTTGGCACTAGAAGCTTTCTTGGGGCCCATGGTGACTTATTTTGCAGGTGCAATCACTAAAAAGGCTGTGATAATATGAAATGTTCCAGTTGTATGTTTGGAAGCGACCGCGGCGGCTGGCTGGCTTGTAAACACTGGCACCAAAGGGACAAGTGAGGCGTGCTCAGGCCAAAGTGGACGCATATGGTACGGAACGAAAAGCGCTGGTCGGGTTTTTAAGCACTAGTCGAGGCAAAATTTTTGCGTTTAAATGAATCGCTAGTCAGATTTATCGTTGATCGATGCAATCGCTGGTTGAGGGCCCACTGTACTAAATAAGCTACCATGGCTCCAAAGAAAGCTCCTAGTGCCAAGCCTGTGGTAAAGAAGGTGAGAAATATGTACAGTGACAAAGTCTTGGGCCATTTTAGGGAAGTGTTAAAGAGACGTCAGAAACAGAGCTCTCTCCACAGTTACTTTGCGAGACAGGACTAGAGTGACTCTCAAGGTGGTCCTAGTGGCATTAAGAAACAGAGAAGAGAAGCAACCCCAGAGAAGCAATTGGTACCTGAGGTGTTGCTGGAAGGGAATTCCCCTTCCAAACTGTAAACAATCCAATCTCTCTCCTCCTCCAGTCTCCCATACACTAAGAAGAATCTCCAATAAAGTTAAAGTGTTATGCTGTTAATGTTCCATTCATCATTTCCCATTGTATTGTTCATGTACTACATGTATATTTCATGTAAAAATTTTTTTTGTTTTAATACTTCTGGGTGTCAGGAACGGATTAATTGTATTTACATTATTTCTTATGGGGAAAATTGATTCGCAAATCATAAATTTCGTTTATAGTAGCTCCTCCAGGAACGGATTAATTACAAAAAACGAGGGACCACTGTATTATGAAATGTATCGTATGAACCCGTGGGGTGATGGTCACTCGCTGATAAACAATGGCACACTGAGTTTGAATAGTGCAGGAGACTGACTTTGTGTTCCCGCTGGCACTGGGACGTCTCTCGACGCGTACCAGATGGTCACCGAATCATGAGGCCCAATCATGAACTGCAAGGCTTATATTTTGCTGAAAAAGTTGCCAGAAGTCAGATTTCACAAAAGTCGCAGCCACCAAAAGGCGGGGGTCCACTGTAACATGCTGACGTGGAAAAACTTTTACACTGCCACTCACCTCTCACACATTCATATTAATATTTTAAGGTAAGTAACAAGTGTACTGTGTGTGTGTGTGGACGAGGGCAGGCGGACGCATTGGGGACGGCTGATGAAAACCAAGGTGACAAACAAAAACTAGGACAATATTTTGATGAAAAAAGTTGTCAAAAACCAAATTCGATGATAACCAGGGCAAATGAAAACCGAGGTTCCACTGTATCCTATTAGGTCATGTTATATGGCTTTAATAAGTTTTGTAGAGAAGACGTTCAATTCTGATTATTAGCGTTAGGCGGATAAAATGGAGTGTTTAACATTTGAGATGAATACAGACATTGAGAATAATATTATATGATTTTATTGATGAGAAAATTTTTCCCTATTTTAAAATTTTTGAGCAAATCATTATAGTTTTACATATGTTTTTATGAGGGCTGGGTATTTTAAAGGGAGAAAAGGCATTTTTAACTGTACAGTGGACCCCCGCAACCGACGACGCATACCTTTAAATCCACATACCGTCGTTTTACGCAAAATTTTTGCCTCCCCATCCCCCCAAAAAAACCCGCTCACCGCTTTTCGTCCGAGATGCGCCCAAATGGGGCCCCCTTACCACCTCACTGTGCCCCCGGGGGCTTTGTTTACCACCAGCCCCCGGGGGTAACATCCAAGCAACAATGGGAAAACATTTGTATTTTTCAGTTTTTGGTGTTTTTCGGGAAAAAATAATGCCCATCCCCAAGAAAGCTTCTAGTCCCCCCACACAAAAAGGGGGTTTACTAGGAAAAGAAAAAGATCATTATAAAGGGAAAGTGAATGGGGCCCCGGCTGGCCAGGTGTAAAAAAAAAACCCCAATCAACCACGTACTTTGGTGGTAAGCTGCGCTGCTGCTTTGGTCCCGTCGCTGCTGCGTAGCATCGTCGTGCGCTGTAATCGTCTGCTGTGGCTGTAGCACTGTAGTGCGCTGCTTTTTCCCCACCGTCAGTCTGAGCTGCTGGTGTAGAACCGTCTGCTGCTGCTGTAACGTCTGCTGCTGCTGTAGCATCGTGCTGCTGCTGATCACTGTCAGCTGCTGCAGCTGTGCTGTAAAAAACCGTTTTTGGGTGTGGCTTTTTAGAAAACCCCAAGAAAAAAATTTAAACCCAGAGGATTGCCACCCAGGATAACCCAAAAAAGTCATGTCATCGAAGACTGCTAACTTATTTCCTTTGGGGGTTCCTTAATCTTGTCTCCAGATGCAAACCCACACCAGTCAACTAACACCCAGGGGGAACAGGAAAAGCCTGGACTATTTGCTCATTTTGGGTGAATTTAAAGCACAAGTTGGGTTTGAGAGATTTAAGAATCGTAGTGGAAACACAGTGTGATAAGGCCTGTTCGGGAAAGAAAATGCCAACAGGACCACAGTACTCAGGGAAAAGGCATCCAGGACACAGTGTTAAATCATCATTGCGATCTCAATAAAGGTAAGTGTCATTATCTTCATTAGTAGGAAAGTACTGCACAATATTATTGTGCATGTAACTCTATATTGTGCATGTACCTTCTTTGTGTGTGGGAAAAAATGTATATTCATGTGTAAAATTTTTTTTCATACTTTTTTGGGTGTCTTGCATGGTTTTTAAATTTATTTCCATTATTTTTTATGGGGAAATTTAAATTCGCATACCGATCTTTCGCATAACAATCAGCCCTCTTGCACGGATTAAAGTCGCTATGCGGGGGTCCACTGTAGTTTTAAAAATGCTAGCAGAACCAGTGGTTCTGGAGATTTCTGGCAGAGAGTTCCAGATTTTGAGCCCTTTTATGTACAATGAGTTTTTGAAAAGATTTAGCCTGACATAGAGAATGTCACAGAGGTTTTTGTGCCTAGTATTGTGTCTATGTCAAGAAAGCATTTTAGGTCATTGTTCTGTAAATGCAGGTTGCACAATAGTACGAGTGAATGTCTTGTACAGTGAGTCGGTTTAGGTCTTTGAAGAATGGGGGTGTGTTGTCCATCAGTGGATTGTGTGATCGTTTGCACTGTGGCTTTTTGTGTTATTGATGATTTTAGGTGGTTTTCTCTTTGTAGAACCCCAGGCATAAATAACATAGGTGAAGTAAGGGTAGATCAGTGAATAGTAGTGTAAGTAGTGCTGTTTGTGGTACACAGTAACATATCTTTGAGAGGATACCAACTGTTCTGGATGGATATGGGTGTTGAATTTCAGGTTGCTATCAAGGTGCAGACCCAGGAATTTTCCCGCATTATGTTTAGCAATAAGGATGTTGTTAAGCATAATGTTTAGTTGGACCTCACTGTCTTTACTCCCAAACATAATGTAAAAGGTTCTGTCTATATTCGGTGTAGGTTTATTGACAGTCATCCAGGTTGCTATTTTTGCGAGTTCTTCGTTAACAATAGTGTTGAGTGAGGCTAGATTTGGGTGGAAGATGACAAAAGTCATGTCGTCAGCACAGAGAGTAGGTGTAAGTTGTTGAGATAAACTTGGAAGATTGTTGATGTATAAAAGGAAAAGGAGAGGGCCAAGAATGCTACCCTGCAGTACACCAGTGTCCAGGGGTCTGGTTGAGGAGGTTGTGTCCTTGATAGAGATGTACTGCTTTCTATTAGTGAGGTAGGACTTGATAAATGCAAGTGCATGGCTTCTTATACCATAATGATCAAGCTTGAGGAGTAGGATGCTGTGATTTACTTTATCAAAAACTTTCTTAACCCTTTTGCTGTCAGTGCTGTAATATTACAGTTTGCAAGTCAGTGTTGGTGCTGTAATATTACACCAAAATTCTAGCAGCTTCAAATCTAGTGAGAGAAATCTGGTAAACATACATGTTAGAGAATGGGTCTGTGTGCTCTGTGTGCAGTATAAAAAAATCTGGGAGGCTGCAGTGCATAGTGAGAGTGCCAATTCAGTATGCCTTGTGCACCATGCCTAGCAGTAAGGAATACCTAACTACCTGGTAAATTGGAACTCTTCTCTTCCCAAGGTGGCAGCAGCGGCATACAAGCTCCGTTATTTCTTCATCAGCCAGGGCCCATCAAAGCTTCTATGATGACCTAATTGCAAGTACAACTGCCCTAACCTACGTGAACCTAGAATGACCCAAGAATACCAACAGTGATGCCTACAACTTTATAAAATTGATGATTAAAGGAAGACTGCCCTACAAACCCAAAGCACCACCCTACTGCCAGACGATCACTTATCCCAAGCCCTGTGCAAATAAAGCTCTCTCCAACTTCACTCCACCAAAAACTACTCCAGCATGACTATGTGATCAAAAATCACAGAAGAAGCAACAAGAACAGTAAGAAAACACCAAGTAAATTACTATTCAACTTGTGTACCCAGCAGGACGCTGTTGTACCATCCACCCCCCCTCACCACTATCCAGGCGATGCAACAACAATAACATCAAACATGGCCAACTCCATCTTAGAATCCCCTTCCTTCACAGGATTCAGCCTGCCAGATAATCTCCCAGGTATGACCAACAATCCTGAAACTCTTAAGTCATACATCATCACCCTAACTACTGATAATATGAGTCTTCGTTCAGAACTAGCTCAACATGGCACCAAGATAGCCCACCTCGAGAACAAGATAACGACATCTGCAATGACTGACTTTGGCAAAACCCTACAAACAGTCATAGCCAGCCACACAAACAAATAACATCTCTAAACATGAAGGTTGAAGAAGCGGTAAAGGACTGGAAGAACAACATGGATACCCAGTTCAATGACTACTTTGTGTACCAAGATGATAAAGCCGGGCAAGAAAAGTTATCTGAAACAGTAAAAATTAGCAGTTCACTCTTTACCAGTGAAATAAACCAAACCAACTGCAAAGATAGTATTATTCAGATCATAAAAGACCAACTAAATGTTATTGTACCAGTGAATGAAATAAAGGAAATGTGCTTACTAGGGAACCAAGGTTGAAAAAAGTGTTATGCTTAGATTTCAAACATATGATAGGAAAAAAGATCTAATCGCTGCATCAATTATAGCTAAAAAAGAAGTACAGTAGACTGTCATTTAGCACATTAGTTAAATTCCTGAAAATGCCGTGTTAGGTAAAATCATGTTAGATGAAGTGAAGAACTTATGGGAAAAATAGGTTACATTCCAGGGAGCCCCCAAAAAGCCAAACAACTTTTTTTAGGCCTCCACATCTTACAAAAATAAAAGTGAATATGTAGTTGTAGTTCATTGTTGTGATGTATTATGGTGTATTTACTGCTTAAGACTACAAATGCATCAGAAATAATAGTATTTCTTACCTTAAATTGTGGGTGCTGGTGTTTGTGGATGATTGTGGAGAGTGGAGAGTTATGATGTGGCCGTACTGGGCCACAGCACACAAACTCACCTCTATCTCTTTTTCTGTGTACAAAGTAACACTTCATTATGGCTACAGGCTATCTCTTGTCTAATATCTTCGTTTCTTTGTTAATTCTAAGATCTACATTCACATGCGTAGTGCTCCAAAAGTAGATCTATGTTTTTTTTACATATTTTCAAATATAACAAAAAAAAAGTAGATCAAAGTTTTTAACACTTTTTCAAATGTAAAAAAAGAAAAGAAGATCTACTTTTTTACATACTTTCAAATGTTGAAAAAGCATAGATCTATGTTTGGACAGTTTAAGGGTTAAGTGCTTATACCTCTTCGTGCCACTTTCAGCAACACTGGTATGGCTACAGGGTGTCATGATTGTTTGGCAGATACAAAATATAGTAATTAAAATATCATAATACAATCCACAACAAGGCGGCCGCTTGATCAAAAGAGAATTTTTTTTTTCCTTCCCACAAACTGAACCGTGTTAAATTAATTATACGACGTGTTACATAAAATTGTGCCGCAATTCTTCAATCGTGCTAAATGATGGTCTACTGTATACATCAATGAGTGCCTGACAATAAAATGTCAGAACATCTTGTACAGAATAAGAAAACTTAAATGAGAGAATAATGACAAAATTCAGCAGTGCTTCACACGGGATGGAAAAAATTGTAGTGAGGAAAACAAGTGTAGGCCGTTTGTATACTATCACAAACAAACGTGAGCTGTCCAGCTTCCTTCGAGATGCAAATCTTACAGAGACTGATTAACCAAAGTGTCCAAACCATTATACTATGTGTAGTGTATGTTATTATTCCATTATCATGCTAGTCTCTGTACCATCATTTACCAGGTAGTATCAACTACCTCACTGTCACATGTTTCTCATGCTATTGCTTGTGCGACTTAATTTTGTGCTATCATTCAAAATTATTTTTTGTACAGTTATATTCTTGTTATATAACTAACTACATTTCACAACCTGCATGTGCTGTGTGTGTATTTTAACCCTTTCGGGGTTGGTGCCATACTAGTACGGCTTGAACGCCAGGGTTGGTGCCGTACTAAGGCCTTCAAATCTAGCGAGAAAAACCTGGTAGGCCTACATATGAAAGAATGGGTCTATGTGGTCAGTGTGCACAGTATAAGAAAAATCCTGCAGCACACAGTGCATAATGAGAAAAAAAAAACTCCGACCATGTTTTTGCTTTAAAACAGTGACTTTGCAGCGTATTTTCATATGCTATTTATGGTTGTACTCTAGTTTTCCTGGTTTCATTTTATAGAATGGAAGACATGTTACAGAAATTGAGATGATTTTGATTGGCTTAACAATGAAAAGTACCTTGAAATTGAGCTCAATGTAGCTGAAATGTTCGATTTTTGCCAAAGTTCAAAAGTAAACAAATCATGCCACACGTCCAATACACCTCAACTGATGAGTCTAATATTCTTTTACAAGTGTGCTGATATTATTTATACAATTTCTACACTACTGCAGTAGTCAGAATAACAGTAAATCTTCTATTTTTGTGAGAATAAAAATTCAAAGTGGAAAGCAAAAGAAATGTAAGAGGCGCCTGGGGACATGACTAATGAACAGAAAAAATGTTATTTTAGTGCCAGGAATGTCTGTCTTGTTTATTCTGGACCCTATTTGCAAATTGGCATCTTTTGAAATTTGTGTGAAATTGGCAAAATTGCCAATTTCTGACCACCTTAATAGAT